TACCAAAACCTTGCCACGCAAAACTGACACACGTTATTACCATTGCAATTATGGACCAATGTCATGCTGGTACCTACTGTGCTATCCTGAATTAAGAAACTTGTATCATGAATTCACTGTTGAGTTGTGTGGGTGGAAGAGTCTTGGGGAGACACTAGAAAAACAGCCTGGAGTAATTGCCTCTGTCCAGTGGATGAGTATATGCCCCCTAACAAGCAGATCCCAGAAGAAGAAGTCAAGAGGTACTAATGCCAGAAAGTGTAGGAAATAAATGGGAGGATCTAGACATCTCGATATATAATGAAAATTTCAAGTTAATTGAGGCAGTCACTGTAGGTCTTTCTCATGAGTCAACAGGATTTCCCCCCTCAGAATTACTGATGGGAAAAAATTAGACTCAGAGTAGCTATCAGTGGCTCATTATAAAACTGGAAGGTTGTCTTCAGCTGTGGTTCTTGAAAGGTGATTGCTGGATATTACTGCAAACATGAACTCTGCCATGATAATGGACTGCAGCAAATGCTTGTTATCTTTGCAGATATTTCCTAGTCTTGCTAGAAGAGGCTGCAAGCGTGCTGGAGGACAGTATTAACAATCTTAACAGTTTGGAAAAACAGACACAAATCTCCCCCCCCAAAAAAAACCAAACCTAAGATGCAATTCATTAAACTCCATTGCATACTTTTAAACCTTAAGCAAAGTAATTTTTCCAGTACCTGAAGGGGGCCTACAGGAAAGCTGGAGAAGGGCTGTTTGCAAGGGTATGTAGTGACAGGACAAGAGGTAATGGCCTTATGCTGAAGGAGGGGAGTTTTAGATTAGATACAAGGGAAAAATTCTTCACGATGAGGGTGGTGAGGCACTGGAACAGGTTGTCCAGAGAGGTTGTGGAGGCCCCATCCCTGGAAGTGTTCAAGGCCAGGTTGGATGGGGCTTTGAGCAACCTGGTCTAGTGGAGGGTGTCCCTGCCCATGGCAGGGGGGTTGGAACTAGATGATCTTTAAGGTCCTTTCCAACCCAAACGATTCTATGATTCTATGAATAAACAGCACAGATAGGGTTGGGAAGAAAAGGCTAGAAGTGGCAGTTCATTAGAAAAGGACCTGGGCATTACAGCAGGTCCCAAAACAAGGACGGATCATGGGCTGTGGAAAGGAAAAGGTGTAAGGACAGAAACACTATTACCTAGTAAGGCTGTGGAGTCTCCATCACTGCATATTTTAAGAACAGCTTCAGCAAATATTTAACAGGACTGAATTAGCAAGAACTGCCTCAGTAATAGGGCAAATGCATGGACTAAATCTCCCTTCTAGAAGTCCCTTCTACTGTCTGTTTTTACATCCTGTGGTTCACCTCAGGTCATCTGAATAAATTTCTGCCTAAACTCCAGCCCTTGGCTATACTTACACAACTAGTCTTCCCAGTCACATCATTTTCTTCACCCCAAATGGACTGCCCGTATTTGATACTTTGAACTCTACTCATGTGTTTCATACCAAGAAGGGAGACAGAATGGTTCCAGTGATACCGTAATTCTCACTGCTGTATTTAGGTAGATTCATTCATGGGTACAAAGAAAACTTACTCATTAAGATTTGGGTCTTTGGGTATCACCTCCAAAATAAACATACCTGTTTGCAGACGACTTCAGTTCTAGTTGATCCCAATGAGTTATCTCAGATATCTCTGCCACAACTATCATAAGCCTCAGAAAACAACAGCCATCCAGTCCCAGAATTATACTTCTTTTCTGACCTATAGTGGAAACCAGATTTTCTTGTTAATTAATAACAGAGATGTTACAAAAAAGTCTGGTTTTAATAAGAACATTGGCTTTTTTTCCTCATCCCTGTCTTGTACTACTATTAATAATACTTGGCACAGTAGAATTTTTCTCACTGGCATCAAACTGTGCTGGAAGCTCTTTTCCAAAGGGAATTCTCAGTCAGCCCACGACAGGAGCTTTTGCCTCACCGTTTCTACTTCACTGACAGGCTGGCATTTTATAAATCTTGAATAAAGGTTTTTCCAATAACTGAGCTCATTGTTTAGCTGAATTATACCTGCAAAGTTGCACTTTGAAGCCTGGCCCAATACAGCACAATCTCAGAGAAGAGAGCTTACAAGAAGAAACCAAGTATGGAAAATAGCTGGTTTGGCCCACCGGACCAGGCTCACGTCCGATGATGGCTTCGGCTTGCAGTCATCCATCAAACCCATTTGGAACATCAAATAGAGCCTTGCTCAAACCATCAATCAGCCAATGACAAATCCTCACAGAACAAAAATCTGCTTTTCCCAAGAGATAATCGCAGCCATCAGAAACAGTACTACAGACTGTCAACTTGTGGGTGCCTCCTGTTAACATCCAGGATTACCAACCCTGTTTAGTTGCATATTAAAACCTAGAGCGTATTGGAAAATACGATCAGAAAATATTTTTGGGATTTAGCATACAGAAATGAGATAATCCATCCTGTTTAAAGTTGTCCAAGCTTTGATAGCAATAAGTACTTTCTCCTAGCGAAGAGTGACCTAGTGTGAGCGAGAAACGAAGACGGACTCACATACTACTAGGATAAGTGGTGTGGAGACCCACCACAAGCATGTCTTCCCGATTTCCCATGCTTTATCCCAGTTTCACAAACCCAATGCTCTTACTGGCATCTAGTGGTGGATGGAGACACCAACACCAGCAGCAGCTTTTCGGTGATCAAGGGGATTGTCCATTAGTCAATACAGAATTTAAAGCAAAATAACTAGTATATATCGCATATATTTTGGTGGGATATTAATGCAGTGAAGAAAAATCTGAAAATCTTACTTGCAGTGCCTTTTAGGAAGACAAGATAAACAAGCTGGGCAAAAAGCTTGAAAAAATCCAACCCAAAGAACAGTGCTTGCTTCAGCGTGCATTTTATAATTAACTGTACAGGGCTGTCTTTGAGCAATGCAACTGTGGAAATAAAAGTATTTGCAAACACATAATGACCAAAGGCTAGTTTTTGTGCGGGGTGTTGCTCAATCCTTTACATCAGACCGCAAAGACCCATGAGAAATGCTCTCCTACTTCATAAAACGGGGGAGAAATAGGACACAGCACTGAAGCAGGCTGCACCAAAGCAAATGCAGTTCGCAGACACTGCGTTTGTACGAGAAGGTATTTTGGGCTCCAGGCCTATTTCTTTCCAGCCAAAGAGGGCTCCTTGCCTTCCCTGCTACAAAACCACACGAGCACTGTGCCTATCAGCCAGAGTCCCCCAGAGTAACCTGGGGGGACACAAATGTTCGTACGTGACTTCCGAGTTTCCCTGACATATACCTATGCTGTTTCTTTTTCATTGTCAAAATATTTCAATCAGAACTCTTCATTTTTTTGACACAAGGATCCTTCTGCTTATTTATACATAGATAGGAGGGTCCTCTCTGAAACCCTGTAGAGTCAAGGAAGGTCTTTAATGCTACGTGGGTTTTGCATCTGACCCCGACTGACTCCGTCCCTTACATGCCACTTACAATACTTAAGTTTATTGTAGATGTTTTCCACTGCTAAAGGATCAATCTTTTGAGCTGCTAAACTAGCTTTCAACAGAAATGGTCTCTGTGTGGTTTTACTAACAGTAATATCACTTAGATTCCCTAATAGAAACATTTTAGTACCCAAAAATATTGCTGTTCAAGATCATATTTGTCCTTTGAAGTATTTCACCACTTAATTTATGGATAAATGGACTTTCCCTAAACATATGCATTAGATTAGCCTTCGACACACCATTCCTCCAGCACATGTCATTTACTTTGATCCTTATTTCAGTTGTCCTGGATGGAATCCAGATAATTCTAAAAAGTGCTTTTTGCTGTATGAATATCAGCTGTAGGTTTATGGTTTGCTGAAGGTTTGAGATTTCATTAAAGCACCACAATTTGCTATCTATAAAGGTTAGGGGTTTGTTCCATGTATTTCCAACTCTTTCAAATGAACATTTGGTAGCAGAAGGTAATAAATTCTGGTATAAATGTATACATACATGTATACTTTGAAAGAAAGGAGGAAATGCTTCATGTTTACCGGCAACTAGTGATCTAATGCATTTGAAAAAGAAAGGACATTTTTAATGCACTAGGAAATAAACATGATGAATGAATCTTTTATCAAATACCATTTTTTCCCCTCATCGTTAGTGTCCTCCACAACATAATGCATTCATGGAAAAAATATTTTCAGACTATTTTGCACATTTAATCTTTTTCAATTTTCTTAAAAGGTTTTTTTCTGTAAGGTATTATTATTATTATTATTATTATTATTATTTCACTGTATCAGTCTGTAAGGCTCAGCATTATTTTATGCTTTAAACAAAAGTACCTATATTCTCTGAGAGCTGGGTACTGCAAAAAGCAGCATGACTGTTATATTGTTGTTTTGTTATTAGTTTAGCAGCAGAAGCAATTCCCTCCAGTGCTCATCTCTCTTCATGTTGCCCTGTCAATATCTATTGTCTAATATAAAGGACCCCTAAATTGAAGGAACATTTGAAGGAATTGAAGGAGCTCTTCCACAGCTTAGTAATTTAAAAATTCTCTAATTTATCTGAATTTTCCAGAGGTACTTTTAGGTTTTGTATTTGTCTCTAGAATATTCTTCAATGCTGCATAGGCTTCTGAAATAAATTTATTTAAAAGTGTTTATTAGCAAACCTCTATAGAAAAAGATATATTTAAGCAAATGTTTGTTTGCATAACAATAGTTTTCTGTACTTGGCCAAAGGAAAGCTAACAGTTCACAATTATCAGCTTCCAATTTTACCATTTAATTGCTTAGCTTAGGTATTTTTGACACAGCTGTCACATTTTTCCCCCCTTCTCACTATCCAAATCTCATGTTCCTCAGCTTCCCATCTGAAGTTCTGATCTGAGATGCATCCTTTAAAGTCATAATAACAATGGGCATGTCAGCTGTATTCCATTGAACTCGCAGTTGGGAATATATAAAGGCTATTTTCTAGATCAAAAATATGAGGAACTGTCTTTTCTGGTTCAGTTACAGAGAACAGAACACCCTCCACGCATCCTACTCCGAGGCACTCTATTTCCTTTTACTTGGACTTTAATGAAGTTGCAAAATATATAGTATTGTAAAGAGCACAGAGGTTAATAGCACAGGCATTCGTAGCCAGGTTTTAAAAAGTAGATGTAACCAAAAAGGCAAAAATAGTGGAATTTAATTTAGGGAACAAGAAGGGGGTGGGGGTGAAGAAGAGGTCTTGGCTCTGGTACGAGGGACCAGCAGGAAGAACGTAGCAGCAGACTAAGGCAGACCAAAGGTCTCTCTGGCCCGTAGATGACTGTGGAAGAACACAAGAACAGAGTGAACATACAGTGATGCTCACACATAAACACACGTATTTTGTGGCAACTTGTGGCTTAGGGACCTCTTAAATGGGGAATTATTATCAGCCAGAAAGGAGACTCTGTGTGGCAGGAGAAAAAGGCAGACCCTAAGGTAGCAACTACTGTCTGCTGGCCACTGGAGACCCTTATTCGCTCAAGAAAAGGGCACACCATGTACCTGTATCACCACAGGAATCCTGGAAATCTTATACACAGCACTCTGGCATCAAAGGATTGTTCTTCTGACCCCACTAAGCTTTCCGTTCCTCTCGTGAAAAGACGCTGCCCCTCCTGCCGCAGTTATGGCATTTTAAGGACACCATGAAACGTAAAGGATGTTACCTGAATAGTGGGGCATTGCAGCACACGCAGTAGTATATTCCTGATTCTGTGTTATTCAGATAGATCCCACTAAGTGGCTTTTTAAAAAGGAAGAAAAAAAGAGAAGTTAATAATGCAGGTCTTTAAAAGCTCACCATCTGGAACAAGCATGTAGGAATCAGATTCAAAACAGGAGAAAAACCATAAAAAGAAGGCTTCACAGGGGGGCTTTGAAGAACAAACATTAGCAGCCTAAAGAAATGAAGGGGAGGATGCCTTTGGATTAATAGCGAAGACTACCCCCTGCCCCCAGAAACTTCGAGACCAGTCAGATGCATAAATCATCCAGGTACCAGGGATGGAGTCGTGACCTCCGAGGAACTTGTGAAATGTGCAGGATCCCAAAGACCAGGGCTCTGCTATGGAGTGCCACAACTTCAAAGTGGCTCTACAAAGGGACCTTCCTCCACCCTGCATGCTCTGGAATTAGGATCCTTCTTTTACAGATAAGGATTTGGGCAGAGTTCGCATGATTTAATCCCACAGTACATGCTCCACACGTGCAGAAGCCCTGGCTCTGGGCTAGGGATGCTGGTGCTCCACCCACAGTGCTACATGGTCTTCATCACGAAAGGAAGCAAAGCGTGGGGACAAGGTGGGTGTGTGATTTGGCCCATGAGGTGTAACTGGCTGTTGAATATTGCATGGCCTAATCTACATATAGTCAAAAAAAGGAGACTACAGGGCAAAAATACGATCTTCTTCCTCCCCTCTGGAAAGGTCTCCATTACTGCCACACAGACAGCTGAGCTGGCAGTAAAGTATCCCAGAAAAAAAACCCAAAATATGAAAAGAATGCAGAATGTTTTTTCATCTGCAAACCAGTCTGGGTCAGAACAAAACCCACCCAGTTCAGTATGCTGAATCTAACTTTCATCCACAGAGGGCAGAGGAAAACCTGCGAAGGAAGTGAGTGGTGACAGTGCCCCAAAGCAGGTTTCTCTGCCCAGCAGGCAGAGGAGGTGCCTTAACCTTGGCCAGCATTAGCACCTTTGCTTACTGGTTTGGTTCCTTTTTCTCTTGGAACATAGAATTGCTCTGGAGTCAATTTTTTTTTTCCAGTCTGTAGCACCAGTTGCTTCAGCTTGTTTAGTCAGAGAGCCCATGTCTTCAATTAGATATAGAAAGATTATTTCTATTATTTTTAACACCATTTTAACTTAGACTCTGTTGATGCTTTCCATCATGACCTCAGTTCTAAAGTTTCTATGGGTAAAGACAGAGCGCAGGAGAGCACTTCAGGGACATAAGAGCTGGGGTGAGTGCAGGACGTTGCATCAGCTTTCCATGCTGCGTGCTGCATTTGGAGAGCAGCCCCAGCACACCACTTGGGAAGGCTCTGAATGAAACGGGCAGCTACGACCCAAGGGTCCATCTGCTCTCCCAGCTCTGCCCTCTATTCTGGATGCCCCTTCCATGGAAGTGTTCAAGGCCACGTTGGATGGGGCTTTGGGCAACCTGGTCTAGTGGAGGGTGTCCCTGCCCATGGCAGGGGGGTTGGAGCTAGATGATCTTTGAGGTGTCTTCCAACCCAAACCATTCTGTGATTCTATTCTGGCTTGGGATAACTGCTGGTTTGCTGGTGCTCCTTCCTCATCCCTGGGTATCGCTGAAAGGTTTAGCAGTTTGCCTCTTGGAAACCCTCAGAAACCAGAACTAACACTCATTTATGGGCACCAAAGATTGGCAACTTCCACAGGCATCAGTGAAAAGTGGTGCTAAGAAGAAGCACAGGAAGAAAACAACACCTACAGCCCAAGAGAAATGGGGCCATAGATAAGTGAGGGACCCACAACAGGAAAACAGAAGTTACCCATCATGGCGCAACCCTCTGGCAATGTCTCCTAGGAGTCTGTACACACCATGCAGAGTGTTTATGGTGGTATGGGATTGGCAAATAATTAATAGATTGGCTTAAAAACAAAGAGTAAAATAGTTTAATTCCTTCCTAACCAAAATGTACGAAGTGGGGAACCAGCTCCATGCTTATCTCCCATCAGCATAGAAAAAAAAAAATCAGCTCCTGAGTGATGAACACTTGCCTGGACTCATCTCATACAATGCAGAGATGATATGGGGGGGGGAAAGAATTTGAAAACTACAGTTTAACTATAAAAACTATAGTTTGGCCTGCCAAACAGTTCAAGAGAAATACCTACAGCAGGCTGACTTAGCCCTCTCCAGCCAGCTAGAGGACACCAGGAATGGGGATGCCCTCCCCTTGCAGGACGGTTCCATCCCTTTCCCTCCCATTCCCCACGCTCCAGGTGGAGGGTACCTGTGCCACCATGGGCAGTACAGGAGCAGCCGCTGCTGGAGCTCCATGGTGGGGAATGGAGGAGGAAGAGGAGGCAGCTGCTGAGTATCCTCCAGAGCAGATGAGTCGCCATATCAGCGGGGGGGGGCGGGGGGGG